CAGCCAAATGCAGTCAACTCATTGTATTAGTACATGTAGCCTGTGTTATTGGACAACAGTGTACAGCTAAGATTTATCATCACGAGTTGTATAGGTCGAAGAGCTTATTGCGGCCAACAATTTATCCCACAGTGTTGCTTCAGTACTGAAACTATGCGATGAATCATATTTTTCAAACATATTTTTTACACGTTTTTTTATGTCTTAAAACATTTTCTATATTTTTAGTGGGTTCATAAAAGGGAGATGTAGTCATTGAAGTCCATTAAGACTGCTGCTAAACTGTCACTATATGCATATTATTTTACAGCCCTCTAAAAACAAATTTACAGTGAACCAATAAATTTACATACTGTAAGAAACTTTATGGTATGCCATTGGTTGGTGCATTTAATTTGTTTGATGCAATCATTGTGTCGGTCAGTTCTTATGGTAGCGATATGGGGGTACGAAAATTCGGAAATCGAGAGGGTACAGACAACATTTTGCAGATATCTACTGAGCGTTAATAGTTGTACAAACAATGTAGCGATGTTGAATGAATGTGGAAGGCTGCCATTATGCTGTGGTTATTTCAAGCGTTGTATCTCATATTCGTTAAAATTACTTGAAGTATTAAAAAGCTGGAACCCCAAAACATGTTATATCATGCTAAAACGATTAGACAAGACCGACAGACTTACTTGGAAAATCCACATAAAAATCTTCTGTTCAAATCTGGTTTCGGCATTGTCTGATTTGAAAAACAAGTTGGAGATACTGTAAATTTCTTAGAGATATTTACTCAAAGAAGAAAAAAAATGTCAGCAAGAATGGCATGCCTCAATTTCACAATTAATTGGCAAGCAATTACAGACTAAATTATATACAGACGAGTTTGCTGTTTTGGCTATAAACATAATGTTGAATTAGGCAGACACACAAAAATACAGTTACATCACTAAATTTTTAGTTTTTGCAATGATACATTTGAATTTAGCATGGTGGAAAATGACATTCACTTTGTTTTTATATGTCCATTTTATAATGATCTAAGGGCTGATCTTTTGTAAATAATCCTATGCAATTATGCAAATACTGACAGTCTGGGCTTACTTCGTCGCTACACAAACTGTCACACTATATATCAACTAGCTCTGTATCTTTTTGAAGTTTCAAGGGACGAGATGAATATGAATCCAGCTTAACTTAGTACCATACGTTTACATGGATGTTGTATTGTTTTTAAAACGTGCTATGCACTTTTTCTACCCATTACATTTTGTACGATGGGCTGAGGCCCTGTACAGAGATAAAATTACATAATACAAAATTGACTAATACTAAAATGAATAATTGTAGACAGATTTCGACATGAAATCGTGTCACTTTTATGTGTGCTAAAATTTGCGAAGGGCGAAAAAAATCGCGAGTAGCATTCTACCTTAAAATGCTTAGATAATAATGCTAAGATATGTACAGTCTTGTCTTTTTTTGTGTATAACATTTTGCCGTAGTGGATCTAGGGTGTGGGTGCGTTTGTCTGTGGGTGGGGAATAGCTCCTTTCTCTAAAATGATAAAATAGTTCAAAGATGTTATGTGAAATAACTTATCAACGCAACACAAAGTAAACCAATTGAATTTAAAACCGAGAATATAAAAATTCAAGTTCAATGACACTTTTTGAATATTCTAAAATTCACATAAAATATATTGTTTTCGAATCCCCTATTCAAAGGTGCTGGCTACGAGCCTGAGGCCGACAGACACGATAATATGCGGCCGAATAGAGTGCACAATATTATTTAACACAGGATCGAAGAGAACATGGCCTTATTCGGTACACGACCAAACTGTTTACTAACACAGCATTATTTGGTACACGACTGAGGTCATGGATTGGAGGCGGCTTACTATGTTATTTATAATCTTTATATGAACGAGGGTAGCTCGCATCACGTATACTCAGATAACTGAAGAGAGTCGCCTTCTCAGATTCAACCCATTACTACTGGAAAACTTACAAAATAGTTGTGTATTAAGGTTACATGTCTTAATGTATACTCGTGCGTGATGGAGACATTACGATGGCCTACAAATTATACATACATACTCTACAACGTTGTTTCATATGCCTTAGTTTTATTCTTCAATTGAGTGATCGTTACAAAAATAGTTAATTATAAACAAATAGTTTGAACATGATATAATTATATTAATAAATTATTGTAAATTTACAATTCGGGAATTCTATAATTAATTTTCCTCTTCAGCCTCTCCCTCTTCTTCGTCAAATTCGCCCTCCTCTTCGGCTGTTGCATCTTGGTATTGTTGGTATTCAGATACCAAGTCATTCATGTTGGACTCTGCTTCAGTGAATTCCATTTCATCCATACCTTCACCGGTGTACCAATGCAAAAAAGCTTTACGACGGAACATAGAAGTGAATTGCTCAGAGATGCGTTTGAAGAGCTCTTGGATGGCGGTGCTGTTGCCGATGAAGGTACCGGACATCTTAAGACCACGCGGTGGAATGTCACAGACGGCACTTTTTATGTTGTTGGGGATCCATTCGACGAAGTAGCTGCTGTTCTTGTTCTGCACATTCAACATCTGCTCGTCAACTTCTTTCATGGACATGCGACCACGGAAGATTGCAGCTACTGTCAGATAACGACCATGACGTGGATCACAGGCAGCCATCATGTTCTTGGCATCGAACATTTGTTGGGTTAACTCTGGTACGGTGAGTGCACGGTATTGTTGGCTCCCACGGCTGGTCAATGGAGCAAAACCAGGCATGAAGAAGTGCAGACGTGGGAATGGTACCATATTGACAGCTAATTTACGGAGATCGGCATTCAACTGACCAGGGAATCGTAGACACGTAGTAACGCCACTCATGGTTGCAGATACCAAATGGTTCAAGTCACCATAGGTAGGCGTGGTCAATTTCAGGGTACGGAAACAAATGTCGTATAGAGCTTCATTGTCAATACAGAAGGTTTCATCGGTGTTCTCAACAAGCTGATGGACTGAAAGGGTGGCGTTGTATGGTTCAACAACAGTGTCCGATACTTTTGGTGATGGTACAACACTGAATGTGTTCATGATGCGATCTGGATATTCTTCACGGATCTTGCTGATGAGGAGTGTACCCATACCAGAGCCAGTGCCACCACCAAGGGAGTGTGTAAGTTGGAATCCCTGCAGACAGTCGCAGCTCTCCGATTCTTTGCGGACAACATCGAGGACTGAATCGACAAGCTCGGCACCTTCGGTGTAGTGGCCTTTCGCCCAGTTGTTACCAGCTCCACTTTGGCCTACAGGTGAGACGGAACAAGTGAAATTAGAGAAAAGAACATTGTAAATGTTTTTACTCTGGTGAGAAGGGCTTTTAATGACAATGAGAAAACGTTTATGAACAATGTATGCCAGGAAGACGCTCGCGTTAAATTCAAAGCAGGAAAAAAGTTTTCATGAGCAAGAGACACTCTGGTAAGGTTTGACACGGAACTTGTAAACAATGTAGAACTTATTCATTTTCAGGTAAAAGAGAAATTAATATGACGGGAAATTCTACACGAGTGATATTCATCAGTTAAAAAAAAAATTGTGTATTGAAACTTATACAATTAGAAATTTATAAATGTTTTATAATATATATATATATAAATTATGGAGTTTATGAATGTAGTGTAACTAATATTCAAATGCAATATAATTTATACAGAATAAGTAAATGTTAAACCATTGTATAACAAACTAGAAAACGTACCGAAAACAAAATTGTCTGGTCTAAAGATTTGTCCGAAGGGCCCTGATCTCACAGAGTCCATGGTACCGGGCTCCAAATCGACCAAGATAGCACGGGGAACATATTTGCCACCAGTAGCCTCATTGTAATACACGTTGATTCTCTCCAGCTGCAAGTCGGAATCACCGTGGTAGGTGCCGGTGGGGTCAATGCCATGTTCGTCGGAAATTACTTCCCAGAACTGAAAAAAAAATAGAAGAGAACGTTTTATGAAATGTTGCAAAAAATGTTCATATTGCATCATTATTGAAAATCTACTTTTTAAAAACGCTTGATGATTCACGCGTGTTTTTCGGCAGTTTTTTGGCAACCTTTTAGCATAGAATAAAAACTGGTTGTTTATCGGTTGGTTTATTTTAAACTACAGGGATGCAAGGCTACGATGTCCACCATTCACATGATGTTGATAGCAGAAAAATAAGCAGGTGTTATCAGAAGTCTTCAATCGTTACGAATGAAACATTAGATTTAAATCGTAAAAGAAAACGCCAAGCATGTTGGGTGGTTGATTATGCTAAAACAAACCAGCATGTCCATGGGAAAAAAACGTGGCTACCATTTCCGCAAGCATGGTTAGGGCACATTTCTTGTACACTCGGTATGTCAAAAATAAAAATGTAAGCCAATTGAAATAAATATAACCACTGCCGTATTGTAATGTTGCCATAACAACACGTGTATAGCAACGATTTTTTAGTTCCATGGATGACTAAAAAGGCACATGGGACATGGACTAATATATCGAAAGCAAGTGCAACCGAAATCATGAAATTATTTTCTTTACTTACCTTTGCGCCGATTTGGTTACCGCACTGGCCAGCTTGAACGTGGACGATTTCACGCATATTGAACGGTGTTGTACTAATGTCAGTCTAGCTAACTTGATGTTTCAGTCGGAGTTGTGCGTTGCTCTGGTGCCCACAAGTTAACAACCGGCAATTTAAAGGATCCCTGGACTAATAACTCACCCGTGAGCGAAACCCTTTCGCTCCTTAAAATAATTCTTCGCGAATCACTGCTGTTGATCGAAACAATTTATTATATACATAGTAGGCATTTTTCTTTCACTTTTGTCTACGATTTTGTTCATTTGCTTATACAATAATTTAAAAAATATTGCCATAAATAAAATGAGTTGTCATGGTAAATGGAAATATGTACGTACGTATTAGAAATCAATCCGCGTCGACGATATCAATGTTCACGACTTGACAAGACTGCACATGAGGTGTTAAAACAATCGATATCACGTGGTTACGTAACAAGTTCAATTGCTAATTGCACCTGTTGATGTTACGTGACTGTAGCCTTCAACATTCGTTGTTGATGGTTTTATGAGGATTGTCACTATCGTTTCATTTTTAATAGTATGTTTTTTAGTACTGACAAAATAACAAAAACACGCTGTTTTCTTGATTATTTTATTATACATACGTGGACATAATTTCTAAGAAAATATTTAAAAAATAACCATGTCTTATTAGCAATGCAAGTTGTAATTATGTTTTGTGTTGCACCAAATAGAAGTTTTACAATTTCAAACAATTGATGCCTATTGTCAGCTGTGGGGGGGGGGGGGCGCAGTATTTAGCAACATTCTACATTAATATTATTTAAACACGATTTTTAAACGAAGTCTTATTGTTTGTATTGTTCATGCCAACGTTGGGACATGCCGTATATGTCTGTGCCACTGCGAAGGCAAACAATCTGAAAAAGCGTATAACACCTGCAAAGTGGACGAAAGCCATAACTTTATTACCTTCAACGGTGAAATATCGTTACCAATTAATAATTAACAACATAAATAATTATAAATCACTATCATCATCATCCTATATTCGGTTTCCCGGGCACCTCTATGTATACAATTATTATTATTGTCCGCGTTTACACTAATGGTGTATTTCGGTTGGTTTATTCATGTTTTGTTATTACCGGTAGATGGAGTAGATTTGGACAGCAAGCTACCATATACGGTATTTTTTATTCTAAGGATCATTTTCACTTGCGAGAAGTAATAATGTATAAAGCATTGCCACCGATATGTCAGTATTATCAAATCTGTGGAAACATCATCATGAGAGCATACCGGATGAATTCTCTAAATTCGAACATTGTACCTGATATAACAATATTTGACACTACGCGCGTTATGGTTTACACGGCATGACCAGTCAAATTAAAACAACATCTGTACCCTTGGAGTCCATGTGATAATATAAGGTGGTATTTAAATGTTCGATAAAAATAAACTATTTTCCCAATTCACTGTACTGTACATGGCGTATTTTGATCTTTAACAAAATAATAACAAGTGTTATCAGTTGTTTTACATCTCTCGGTTTGTACAGTGGTAGTTATATCCTGACAGTCTACCTGCCATCAAAACGCTATCCTAACGTGTCGCATATATAGTTGATAATAATAATAATAATAATAATAATAATAATAATAATAATAATAATAATAATAATAATAATAATAATAATAATAATAATAATAATAATACCAATTCTTTCTACTGACGCTTTTACGGTTTAAGACATGTGAATACAAGTACATAATAGGACAAAGACGACTTTTTATTACCTTATTAAAAGCCTTTCCAGGCACGAAAATGGGGAAAACTTATCTAAAGTATGGCGCAATTGAAATGAATACTAGTAATCAAATGTTCAACGGGAGAGAATATCCAGGATTGTAATACTTCATTGCATTAATCAATCTAGGCAAGTGGAATATACATTGCTAGAATTATTCATACGTCCCTACATTTGGTTTTAGAGTCCCAGGTCAATGAACAGAGTGAACGCATTCCATAAAAACAAAAGTTTAGTTAAAAATGGCCACCTACGCGAACGCTATAAAAACAAACGAACAAACGAGCTCGAATTGCATGTAAACAACTTGAACTTGTGCTTTTGACACGAGTTGTATTATAGTACGTCGTCTATTGAGAAGGAGTGACGACTTAATTTTAATTCACAAAACATTTTACAGAAGTTGAAGTATATTATTTCACGAAAAGTTTTCCTAAATAAACTGTAAAGAGTAATGTTTGCTCTAGAAATTGTGGTGTTAGTGTAACGGTTTTCTCCATGCCCGGAAGTCTATAGACGAATGTTCGAAGAACAATTATTATACGTAGTTCCATATAAATCCATAATGATAGTCATATTAAATTTATTTCTATAAAATGGACAAAATAATCTGGTCTAAGTTCGGAGATTTATTAAATTGTTATGTTATTAATTTTTATTACATTATATTCTCGTTCAGATTTTTATGTAGTATCAAATTCCCGCAAACGTCAGTTCTTTCCTTCATAAGCTTGTGCCATGCCACTGTGTATCCCCGACTCGGGGTGAAAGGTGACGTATTTCCCGTATGACGTCAACAGCATGGAATTCATAATGGCGGATGCGAAGAAACATCGCAGTAGCAATATGTGAACAAGAAGTTGTGCCGAAGAAAATGACTATTTGTACCGAAGTTACGACTGTCATACCAATTCATAACGTACTAAGAATAGACAAGTAACATGTAGATGATGGCGTAAGTGTTGGATTTGGGGAATCGTCGGGGATCTTTCAGTATTTACTCGACCGGGTACAGCAGGTGCACGATGGTCGATGTTGACGACCATGACGAGACTGTTACCAGATTACTCTCTGCCTGTGAACATGGAGACACTAATACTGTGCAAACCCTTGTTGAACAGGATTTAGCCGCAGTCGATGCATGTGATGGCGAAGGATCGTCGTTGCTACATGTCTCCGCCGCAAACGGTCACGAAAGCTTGGTACGATACCTCATAATGCGGGGAGCTAAAATCGACTTGACAAACTCGTATGGATGGACTGCACTGATGCAGGCTGCGAGGGGTGGATATCATAAAGTAGTGGCCTTACTACTTCAAAATAAAGTGGACGTGAACGTTAAAAACAAACTGGGGGTGTCGGCTTTGACGGTGGCTGCTCGAGGGGGACATACGCAAGTCGTCAGAATGTTACTCGAAGTACCGGTCTTCGATTTGTCTGACGACTCGCAGACGGTGACACCGTTGATAGTGGCCGCGCAATATGGTCACGATACTGTGGTCAGGTTACTACTTGATAGGGGGGCTAGAGTGAACCACCAGGATGAAAACACCGGGTGGAATCCTCTAATGGTCACGGCTTTGAACGGGCACATGACAACTGCTCAAATTCTTGTCGATCGTGGTTGTGATCCAAATGTAACGAATTTATTAGGAAGGACTGCACTGTCAATCGCTATTCAGTCTGGAAAACGATCCAGAGAGGTGCGTGGATACCTGGACAGAAAGACCACAAATAAACCAAAACTTGGTAAGCATCAAAGAGTTTCTGAAATGAGCATGACTTGTTGCTATGGAAACATGTTTATTGTCTCTATAGTGACGCCCCCATACACCTTCAATATGGATGCACTTTGTACATATGCATGCAGACAGTTGATGAAAGCTATGATGATGTATAGAATCGCTGTTTATTTTTTTTCATAATAGTACTGCAGTAATTAATCATAGATTAATTTTGTCAATATCCAGGAGATTTTATAATAGTGACATCAATAGTAAATCATGTTGGATTTTTGTGGTGATATATATGGTGGAATAATCATTCTATTTTATTAAATTTGGTGGGCACATGAACATACAGTAAATTTTCACTGATTTGTCACGAGAAAAAAAATATATTTTCACAGGGATTTTAA